TGACTGGTGTAGAAGATTATCCAAAGACGAAATACCTTGATATGGTGGGAAGATGACTTGAATCTCCGAAATATAGTCGGTGTAATTAATGTCTTTACTGATAGCGCCTTCACGGAGGATAGCGATGTCAGACAGATTTCTAGATGCTGTTGCCAAAGGGGGAGCATTTTTTAACCGCCAATACAGGTTTACCAAATCTTGCACAGCCAACTCCGATAATTTTGGTAAAATCTTAGAATTCTGAGATTTGCACTTCAACACGAATTTAGAAGCCAGGAAGTTTCTTCTGATGGACAGTGGAGGTTCCCGTGCTTCCACCTGTACTACGTCTCCTGGACAAGAGCACATTGCCCCAATGCAAAGACGTAGTGCCTTATTAGATACCGCGTCCAGACATTTTAAATTTGAGTTCGAGGCACAGCCATATAGGATACATCCATAGTCAAGCAGACTTCTAACATACGCTTTGTAGATCTTTAAGTTAGAGTACATGTCGGCACCCCAATTAACTCTGGAAAACACGCTAATCAGATTAATGCCCCTTTCACATCCACCTATCAACTTCTCTATATGCGGTCTCCACCTTAGTTTCGAATCGAGAATCATACCAAGGTAAGAGATTTCTTAAGTTATTTTTTTAAGTTCAACTCCCATCAATCTTAGCGATCCTGTGGGCAAATCTCGATGCCGTGAAAAAAATATAGTTTGGAGCTTATCCACCGATGTATCGAAACCATTATCAAACAGCCACCTTTTTATGATCCTGAATTTAGCTTTTAATTGCTGCAATACGAGTTTTGTTGATTTAGCTGTGGTATCAATGCACAGATCGTCCGCATATTGGCATGCGTTGATATTAGGATTCCACATTCTGTAAAGATCCACACAATACATATTGAAGAAAAGGGGACTAAGAGTAGATCCCTGAGGGAGCCCGATCGATGTCATTCTGGGACCAATTGAAGAGTTCTTATTACTTCTTACGAATATTACTCGATTCCTAAAGAGGTCACAAATATTCCTCGCAACCTGATCTGGGACACCCATTTTGACCATTTTGCTTTCAAGGAGGTCTAGGTTAACCTGATTGTAGGCATCTTTAATATCCATAAATATTGCGCCCAGGTAATCGTTTTTACTAAAACATCTTTGAATGTCTGTTACCAGTCCAGCGAGTGCGTCAACCGTTCCTCTGACAAAGCGAAATCCGTACAATTTATCCGGCAGAATCTGGCTTTGTTCCAGCCACCATTCCATCCGACTTTTAATCATTCTTTCATAAGTTTTGGTAATGCATGACAAAAGCGATATCAACCTACCTCTTTATTTGCTTTAAGGATAGGCACGACTACGATTTTCTTCAATTCTTTCACCATATCCCCCTTAGTCCAAATATAATTAAAGCACTCCAGTAGCAATTCTTTCCCCGTTATGGGTGAGATATGCAGCATCGAATACGTAATATCGTCCTCTCCAGGCGCTGTGTTGTTAGATTTTTGCATTGCCTGTAGTAGTGCTGTTTTTGAAAAGGGCCGAGACACATATGCTGGAGTGATAAGGGGTGATACTGGTTCGAGAAATTTGAGAGCTGTGATTGACAATGGATCACACTCGGGATCACAGCTTCACAGCGCAGTTACATTTTAACATTGACGGTTGTCTTAATTTAAAACCAAAAAGGTTGGCCATTGGGGGAACAAAATCCCGAATTAACACACTACTGTAATGGTATCACAGTTTTTAACGGAAAGTAGGTAGGTACATACACAATTTTCAAATTTTGAACCAGGTTCACATTTGCAATGATATTGCACCAGTTTTTTATGGTTTATGGATGCAAAAGTTAAGTATACTCAACGTACAAGTATCAGATACCGATAGTCAGGTCCCCATATTTGAGATTTGTTGGGAGCAGATGTCGGATTGTTAAATACCAGGAAGCGACACATACTGAATTGTGGACTCGAGGAAAACGAGACTTGTGTTGGTTGGATCGTAGAAGGAAAAGTTCTTAGCGAGAAATCCACCAGAATGATAGTCCTTCATTTACTTGCACGGTGCTCCATATACGAATTATGGCAATTAGACATGTAGGGTATACAGGAACCGATAGAACAAAAATTCAAAAAAGGATTGGCGTAAACTACTAAAGTTGTTGTAACAGTCACAATAAATGACGAAGGCAGATATGAGATGTTGTTACCATGGCGTGAGGGACATACTCAGTTACACACCAATTATCGGATAACTCCAAATACTCTAAAGTTTTTAAAGAATGGGAATCCGTGGACATTATATTGAAAAAACTGATATAAATAACCCCCACTGACATTTTGTACAGCATTACTAACCTGATAATCGTTTTGGACAAATGGCTACAAACAATTAATGTCACTTTACAATCAACTTATTTAGAGAAAGGCAATTTTCTTATGGAAAAAGCACTTTTTATATGGAATTACGCATTTTGTAAATCGTTTGATAAACGACTCCCCTTTGATCTTGTTTCTCTCCCTACACCTGTATCCAATTAAATTTGTATTCGGTATATTCTTCGTTTTTCTTGGAATATCGCCAAGCAAAATACTAAACTTCCGTCACAATATGACACTATGTTGGAGGTGTGGCGGTTTGATTTATGGGACTTTTTTAAGTATGCGTTTTCCCAGAAGTGAATTTTGCACTGCACTGCGCGTATGATAAGTTTCAAGTGAAAGATAAACTAACATGAGAATATAAATTTTTTTTAATTCCTGATCTTATTTCAACCTACCAAAAACATAGCTAATTGTGTCCTGCTTCGGGATCTTCTTTAGGAGGCCTAGAATATCCCCAAAAGTTTCAAAAATTAGGTTGCCATGACTGACGGATCGCACTCTACAGTTTAAAATATGTTCTATCGTCTTTGTCAACCATCGGAATAAACAAAATGATTTATTGTAAACCATTTTATGATGACTGACTGATTTTAAATTAAAATAACCAATTCAGTTTTCGTATATTCTCAGAAACAGTGATTTATAACAATGGTAATTGAACCTGCTCATATAACACGAAACAGAAATTTCGAACGATAAGTATTTAGTTTAGTGGGACCATCATAAGTTGCTCGTAAATTCTGGTTTCATTAGGAAGGTTGGCGAGTCCACATATTTTCAAAACGTTTTAGTAGTTTTAGGCAGAATTGCTGGAAATATATCGGAAAATTTGCAATTGAAAAGTGTGATACGTCAGTCATAGCACAGATCTACACATACAACAGATTGCTAACCTTATGCATTTTATGGGAAACACATTTAGGTATACTTAGAAGCGCCCTCTATTGAGCAGCAGATAATGCACGCTTAGTGAAGTGACAGACGGAAAACGCCAAACGTCAAGTAGCGGAAAACCGTTTATAGTTTAAAGACAGACAGAGCATTTTCTATTGAGGTGAATAAGATGGAAATTACAGACCAGTAGCATTCTACCGGCTACTCCGAATCCTGCCGTTACACATACAACAGATTGCTAACCTTATGCATTTTATGGGAAACACATTTAGGTATACTTAGAAGCGCCCTCTATTGAGCAGCAGATAATGCACGCTTAGTGAAGTGACAGACGGAAAACGCCAAACGTCAAGTAGCGGAAAACCGTTTATAGTTTGAAGACATTTTCTATTTGTAATCAGTAGTAATTCCTCCGTTAACAGTGAATTTATTTTGGGATTTGTTTCGGACTAGTTAATTTGTTGCTTGCGAGCCTTTCGTTTTCAAGTTTCCTATGAAGTATCTACTATATTGCCGATTTTTGTGTCTTACTTAGCTACTGTAATTAATCTTTGAGGTAGGTAAGTACATGTAGTAACATTTTTGCTTGCATGCAATCACCTTATCTACTCATTCTCATTGATCCAAGAGAACCACACCGCCGATATGTGTAATAATGGCATATGCGTGCGACTTAATGGTCAGGTGCTATCCAAATCTATCTTCCGCCCCATCGAGCGATTATGCAAAAATAATGTCTTCAAACTAAAAACGGTTTTTCCGCTACTTGACGTTTTACGATTTTCGTCTGTCACTTCACTAAGTGTGCATTATGTGCTGCTCAATAGAGGGCGCTTTTAAGTATACCTAAATGTGTTTCCCATAAAATGCATAAGGTTAGCAATCTGTTGTATGTGTAGATCTGTGGTCGTAGTAAACTATACATTTTCGTAATTTTCTTGACTATTACATTTCCAAATGAGAGCTGTCAGTGCTTTTCTTTTGTTGTGGGAGTTAAATATGGATCACTTTTCCGCTTCAAATCTCCCGCAATGGATATACATGGTTATTGCAAGGGGGAAAATTGATATTTTTCATTTTATGACAAAGAATAACTAACTCTTGATCGTAAACTCCTTTCAGGACAACCGTTTACATTAAAAAAACTGGGTTATTGATTGTTTACACGTAGGGTCAATCTAAAAATACGTTTTGTTGTTCTCCAAAATCTCATTTCATGTCTTATTTTTTATATAGCACATCAATTCAGTCATAAATTAATAATGTTATTTACTCAATTCGCCTATTCACATCCAGTACAGCCTTATCATCTGCCAACACAAATTTTAATTTATGGGAATAAAACAAACCTGAAAAGCAAACAACATTTAAACTTGGGCGAATTACTAGTTTAAAATTGGAAAATTCCCCGTACCTGTATACATAATATTGTTGAGCTTCGGCATCAAACAGTTTCAACATTTTTAACATTCCTAATGACGACTAATTATTTATTTATGAACACTGTAAAAGTGTCCTTTCAAAAACGAAAAGAATTGCAAATGTCACTCGAACATATTTAATTTAAAGAACTTTATAAACAAAGATTATTTTCGAATCCAAAAGCTTTGCTGTATGTAATCTTTATTTATTACTTCACCATGTGCCTTTGCCAATAAATTAAAAATAATGTATTAAGATTTCAAAAAAGAAAGGAAGGATTCTTTTTTAAATAGATTTCATATACATTTAAATTTCATTACCTTTTCTGTCTCGTGTTCTGTTTCTGGGAGTTGTTGGAAATGAAAGTTGAGAATGGTCCATGCCCCCAGATCCTGACATAGCGGAGTGGGCGTCACGAAAATCGCCGGTTTCGGCCCAAACTGTAACATAAATATTTCATTGCTCGCTGTCTCCACAATAATAATAATAGGTACATAATATCAAGAAAGTCACAACAATAGAAATCAAGTAACGGGCGATCAAAAATGAGTTGCTGTCGAGTCGCCTTTGGAAGTTAAAGTTAAATACGATTTACCATGTAAACAAAAATTCCAAAGGTAACTCCACAGCAACTCATTTTTGATCGCATTGTAATATATGTACATTGCGATCAAAAATGAGTGACCGTCGAGTCACCTTTGGAATTTTTGTTTACATGGGAAATCGTACTTAACTTCAACTTTCAAAGGCGACTCGACAGTCACTCATTTTTGATCGCCCGATACATTGTACATATACCTATTCCAAAAAACTGGCATGGCGCAATTTCCTAATTTCCTATTATTGACATACCGAAGACATAATTAATCTATGGGTCTAGGACAATTCGTCGTTACGTTTCACCATTGCCGTTTCGCCGCCACCAATTCGCCGTAAGGATAGTTGGTCGTTGGTCAATTTCGCCGTGTGCCCAATTCGCCATACAAAAAGTGCTTTTTGATGTGTTATATTTCGCATGTGTTAATAAAGGTCTTTACTTTGAATAGATTTTCTGTAAGTTGGCAATGAATGGTGAAATAAGAGGTAGAATGAAACTCAACGATTTTTTATTAAGGTTGAGGAAGAGCTCCATTTTTAGCGCATTTCCACAAAAATAAAAAAAAAATGCGCTATCGTGGCCACTTTGTCCGTCCGTCCGTCCGTCCGTCCGTCCGGCCGGCTGTCCGTCCGTCCGTCCGTCCGCTCGTTTTGCGACGCTACTAGTTCTTTATCTTAAGAGCTATTCTTCTACTTTTTTCGCTATTTGGTTCGTTATGGTGTCGAGTCTTGTACCAAGGAAGGAATTTTTTCTGTACCGCTTACAAAAAAAGTTATTGTAAAAAAAACAAAAACCGTTTTTTACATGTTCCATAATTTTACACTTTTGCCGTTTATTAACGATCCTAGAGATCGTTTATAATTTTGCATTGCTATCTGTCGTCTGCATGCTGGTCTGTCCGTCTGTTCCTTTGTCGGTCTGTCCATCTATCTGTCCGTGTGAACGATAACTTTGTTTAGAAATGTTCGATCGCTTTTACATCTCCGTTAGTTATGAACTGAATTGCATGAAATTCAATATGGGCATAGGTTTAGCCATATAATACGCAATGCCAAAAGTTGGATCGAATCGATTCAAAATTCACAGTGCCCTTTTCGCATCTCGACCATTTATAAACCGAATTGCAAACTTTTTTTACTTATAAAAGTATTTGAATGAAATTTGATACATAGGCACTTGGAATAAAGGAAAATCAAACGCCAATTTCAAAATGTGGTTTTGCGCATGCGCAGTGCCAACTTTTTTATTTGCGGAAGAATTTACACGAAATTTGATACATAGGCACTTGGGATAAAGGAAAATCAAACGCCAGTTTCAAAATTTGGCTTTGCGCATGCGCAGTGCCAACTTTTTTATTTATGGAAGAATTTAAATGAAATGTGATACATAAGCACTTGGAATAAAGGAAAATCTAGCGCCAGTTTCAAAATTTTATTTTGCGCATGCGCAGTGCCAACTTTTTTATCTATGGAACCATTTAAATGAAATTTGATACTTAGGCGCTTGGAACAAAGGAAAATCTAACATTAGTTTCAAAATTTAGGTTTGCGCATGCGCAGTTCCAACTTTCTTATTTAGAAAAGCATTGAAATGAATTTCTTCTCATAAACTGAAATTGAAGTAGCACGTCAAAAATGGATTGCCCATGTGCAACGCTATCTTTCATATTTGTGGCCGGATTTTTACGATTTTAACAGAAGTTGCATCTTATAAATGGGAAATGAATGCAAGTGGAAATGCGCTTTATGTAAATCGTTTACGATTACTTTTTAACTTGTTTGAGTTGTGTTATGATGAAATATAGGTAAGGTAGAATAAAACGTCAAGATCTTGTATTAACGATAAGATGAAGAAGGTAGGTAATTCAACAAATCTTTGAGTGCCATTCTACCTTATATTTCATCATAACACAACTCCAAAAATTGAACTCTTCATCGACAAAGTTGATAATGAACTTTAAATGGCTTTTAGCGTGTTTTTGAAAAAAAGTAGCGCTTATATAATCATTTTGGCTTTGGCCTCCATAATGAAACTGTAGCATAAAATGAGTTTGCTTATAAAACCTCGATCAGTCGCGCAAAAATGAAATAATAGTGGTGGTCTTATTTTTTTTACATAGTGATAAAATTATCGGACTTTTTTTAACGACAATTCAACTCATGTATAAAAAATCGCATAAGCCGCAGTGCAATTGTCACCTTGACAGCGGCAAAAGTCAAGGTTATTTTATTCCAAAGGTTACCTGGTAACTATGTGGGCGGAAGCGGGAGGGACGGAATGTATACGTCATCGAGAATTCAGACATTGACGTTCAACGTTGTTTGTAGTCGCGCGGGTGCTTATTTTTCTTGAGTTATAGTTTATTTGTTTAAAATTTGTTGAAATTTGAAGTGCATAAGGACATATATTAGCTGTAGATACCTGTTTGGTGCAATATAAAGACATTTAGTTGTGAATTTTGTGGGTTTTCATAGCCGTGATTGAAAGATTAGTTCATCAATTATATGCACTTTTGTATGTTATAATTAAGTATTTTTTTAGATGAGTGGCGGTAACACTAAAATTCCTCATCCTGGTGTAAATAAAATCTCGGTTTTTACGTTTCCCAAGGACTCTACCGTTCTTAAAGAATGGGTAAGAAAATGTTTCACATCCGGCGGCAAACTAAAATGTGCTGCGCCCTCATTGGTCAAAACGGCTAACCGATGAAAGCGTAGCGTCCCTGGCCGCAAACGTTTAAAAGCAGAGCCACGAACTCTGCAAAGTGCAACGCCATTTCTGCTTCGACTGCACTTCAAGAAACAAAAAGCAAGCCCTGAGCAGCCCGCCTCCGGTATCCCTGTAGTCAGGGGTGCCGGAGGAATGAAACACGTTGGCCTTTTTCCTTTTTTCCTTCTCCACCTGCAGAACCAGGTCGCCTTGCCAGCTCGACCTCGCGCCACACTCCATCAGTCAAAAGACCTGCATCTGGGCCCACCCCAACGACAGAGCTCGCCGTGTGCACCTCGGTTACCATTTTGTACATACTATAAATATACATATTCCATAAAACGCAACAGCATTTTATTTGGCGTCATCCGCTAAAGAATGTTTAGAGTTTTAAATCCCAAAGGCTAGGTATTGGTACATAGGGGTGGTTCCTATTTTGTAGAACGCGGAATTTTATCCATTTCCACCTCTAAAATTAAATTTGATTACATTTTCACAAGTCCTCGTGCAATGTAAAACAGCTTACGCACCACACTCATTTTTTCAATACTTTGCTTTCAAAGGTGGAAGTCGATAAACTTCCAAGATTTCCAATATAAGATCCACCCTTATATACATATACCCATATAAATCCAAAAATATACTGCAAAAACTAAATGTTTTACCCCTTTTATTAGCATTGTAACCTATGAGCAATTTTAAATGTGTATTCTGGACGACGTTTTCCCGCCTTCAAAATGCAAGCATTCTATTGGTTTAGAGTTACCAGACAACCTTTCTAATAAAACAACCTTGGGCAAAAGTTACCTGCAACTTTTCCAGCGACAAATGCACTAGTGGTTTTTTCACTTATTCATTTTCGAACCAATTATCGCATTATCCTTTCCCATATGATTAGTTTGACGTCTGTCAATAATTGATTAGTTTGGTGAATTTCTTGTTCCTTAAATTGTCCTGCCGAATTACACTCGAGGTTTGTATTTAAACCGAGTAAATGTGGGTTGTTGCAATTCAAATCTGTTTCCTTTTAGCAATTGAACTCGAAAAACTGTCAACCTAAAAATGCTCCACCTTCGGTGTCGCATTTTTATTAGTTGACAGTTTTTCTCGTGTAATTGCTAGGCAACAGATTTTCATTACCTAAACAACCTAAATTTACTCGGTAAAATACAAACCTCTTGTGCAATTATAAGTGAAAAATCGTATGGAAAGTGGTACTTGTTTTCACGATTTTTACTATGCGTTTCCATGGAGTTTAATCCTGTCTATGAACAATAGCATCCATTTTTGAGTGACAGTAAATCGCGAATGTCAATAAAATTATTCAATTGTGGGTTATTATGGATCAGTATGCAAAAAAATTTCGTGTACAACACGTGTTGAAAGTGTCTTTTTTCCATGAATTTGCTTGATTAACTCGGGCTTTGCCCTCATTAATCAAACTGCAAATTCATGAAAAAAAATATCACCTTCTAAACTAGTTGGACAAATAGTTATTTGTACAACTACTTTAGTGGTAGTATTTCAAAACTTTTCTTTTCAATGGATTTCGGGTCAGATGGTTGAGGCAAGAGAGGACAACAATTCCACATTGTATGACATTGGTTCATAAATTAGTGTAAATGCTGATATCATCAGCAGCTTGCGGGAACTATACTTACAAATTACGGGTTCTTTCAGCTTCCACGAGACCATATTTTATTCATAAGGACTGTTATTTATTATTCTATAAATAAAGGTGTATTAGGTTGTACACTTTTTATGTTACCGTGTCTTAATTTAAAATCTATGTCAACGTTGTTGGTACAGGGTGTGGGTAAAACACGGACCCGGACCCGAACTAATCTACGGTCAGGGATCACTTTTATGGATTTTTTGTAGTGATCCTTATTTTCCAACCGCTCGTCCGTGTGAGCAATACTCTTTTTATCAGCCGCCGCTTGTTCGAAATTTGGACTTCTTTATGGTTTAGGAAAGAACCATCAATAGACAATAGGAACAAAAGTTACAGGGATTCTTGTGGATCGGGAACGGTAAAAAAAGGCGACCTCATACAATTAGATATAGCGATTTTTGTGAAATTTTAATAGTAGGTCCTGTCAATGAAACGAAATTCAGTGTGGGTGTGTCACG